AGCGATCATCCTCCGGATCTTTCTGCTGTTCAGCAGATTTGTCTGAGCCACAGTGCTTTTTTGAACAGTATGAACCAATATCCAGGAGCATACTAGCATAATTGCTAAAGGGAGCCCAAACCCCAGAAATAAAGTGGAAAAAACTACTGTTGGTTGTGTGGCATAAACCGGTGGGTTATCAAAGCAATGTTTAGTAACATTTAAAGAAACATTTTCACGCTTGAGGATGTAGATTGGCACACTTGGACCAAAAGACAGTATCCAGACTCCAAGACAAATCAACCATGACTTCTGTCTTGCTCTCTGAATTCTTGTAGACATAGGAAAGCTGACAGCGACACAGCGGTCAAAGCAAATACAAGCGAGGAATAAGATGCTCCCATACATGTTGGCCTTCAGGATCAAGCCAAGGCAATCACACAACACCAGAGGAATGCCTTTGAATCCAAGGTGGTAGTAGATTCTCACTGGCAATGTGAGGATGAGTAAAAAGTCCGCCATGGTCAGGTTGGTCATGTAGACAACTGTTGGGGATCTGGATTTGATTTGACAAAAAAAAAATACCAGAGCTATAACATTCAAAGTAAGACCCACGATGAAGATGAAGGAGTACAAGCACACGTGGATGATGTCGAAGTGGCTCGTACTGTCATTGGTGCAGGTAGTGGTGTTGCTGATGGACATCGTGACCTGTGAGAAAGCAGAAAAAATAATGCATGAAAAAAACAGGTTTGTTGCAGGTTTAAGTATCAAAGAACAATTCATGTTCAGCTCAGCTGTCGTCAATCAAATAACTGTAACTTATGTCATGTCAACATAAAGCTTCTTTGATTACTACGGCAGCAATGTTATGTGTGTTTACAAACTAATATCTCAGCTGGGAAACAGTCAAAGAAGCACACGCTGATCAGAACCATAAGTGAAGCAGCTGAAACAATTATGGAAGTAGAGGAAGAGGAAGTAACATGTGTTTCTGAACAGGTCAGTGAAGTAAGTAAGTAAGTAAAACTTTGTTTATATAGCACCTTTCAAGATAAAAATCACAAAGTGCTTCACAGAAGCTAAAACCTAAAAATAAAAATCAACCAAAAGCAAGTTTAAAAAGATGAGTTTTTAGCTGTTTTTTAAAAGCGACCAC